TTGAGGATAATACAATTCTAACATGTCATTTCACAGTTCTACATCTTTGAGGATAATACAATTCTAACATGTCATTTCACAGTTCTACATCTTTGAGGATAATACAATTCTAACATGTCGTTTCACAGTTCTACATCTTTGAGGATAATACAATTCTAACATGTCATTTCACAGTTCTACATCTTTGAGGATATTACACTTCTAACATTCCATTTCAGAAATTCTACATCTTTGAGGATAATACAATTCTAACATGTCATTTCACAGTTCTACATCTTTGAGGATAATACAATTCTAACATGTCATTTCACAGTTCTACAACCTTGTGTTCAGTATTTGTACTCTATAACCTGTTGAAACACTATTAAATAAACTAATTTAATGCTGATTTTTTTTACTTAATGGATGAGGAAAAGAACAAAAGAAACACTGTTGGAAAGGCTAAACAATGCACCAAATCATTAGCTCAAGTAGAAAATGAAAAATAATTTTACAATACAAATGAAAATTAAACAGAAGCATTAGGTGAATCAAGACAGCACAACTTTAAGGTCAATTTCATTTAGAACTAAGTGAACAAGTTTTGACCCCAACAGGAAAGTAAATAAACTGAAGCCGACACTAAGTCCTGAATAAAAACAACCATCAAATACAGCCAATCAATCTGAAAACAACCTCAAGATTATACTTATAAAATAGTACAATGCATTGTGCATGTTGGTTCTATTCTAGCCTTGCATGACCTGGTGGTTAGGGCATTTGCAGGTCACAATTTTTAATCTCTGTCACTGAATGTGCTCATCCTTTTAGCTGTGGGGACATTATAATGTGATGGTCAATCCAACTATTTGTTGGTGTAGATTAGTTGGTGATAGGTGATGTTGTCTAGCTGCCTTTCCTCTAGTCCTCTTCTCCATAACGACCTTAATTACAACAAGTTTGGGGTCAGCCAGTATTTTTTGGAAGCCAAGAATTTTTTACACCTTGCAAACACATAGATTGTGAATCAAGCACCCTAATCATCAGGTGATGCCTTTTCCTTTCGTCTGTCACTGCTAAAATTAAGGACCACTAGTGCAGATAACCCTCAAGTAGCTTTGTATAAAATTCAAACAAAGTTAATTACACAGCACAGACCAGAATAAAAATTATGATTATATGTTTGTAGACTCTCAATAAATACAAGAATGTTTTGATAGTCTTAAATTATCTGTAATTTTTAAAACTGTAAGTTATTAAAGTTTTTTATTTATCTACAGGAAACTATAAATGTGACTCTAGCAGGAGATTTCAATGTATGAATGATCATTGTATCCCACATTGGAAGTTGTGTAATGGTGTAGATGATTGTGGTGACAGCTCAGATGAAAATAATCACACCCTGTGTGGTATTCTAAGCATCCCGTGTGATGAAACAGAATTTCAGTGTGTCAATCAGAAATGCATTCCTAGGACTAAAGTGTGTAACCATGAAGATGACTGTGGAGATATGTCTGATGAAAATGGATGTCGTGAGTAGTTGTGGGTTTTCTCAGACAAAAATCATACAAGTACAGTGTGTAAAATGCATAATGCGTAGTATTCTAGGTTGTCAAGCAGGAATTATATCTGTTTCTTTCTCCTAGAAACACAAATTTGTATGGAAAAAAAAATGTTACATTTTCATGTTACTTACTTGTCTGGCATACTCAGTTATAGTATATTTTTTAATCAAATTCTCTCTCATTAAAACAATACTGAAATTTTTAGCATTGTTCCAAATGTTGTACAACCACATAGCCTATAGCTCTTACAAGCTAGTTTTTATACCAGATTTGACTACCTACTTCAACTTGGGTAAAAATGAATTAGCACAATATATTTTCTCCAGAGCTAAAACACGCTTAACAACACAGTGTACTCCTTTTAAAATGTGATAGTTATAATCTACTGCCAGAAAACAAACAAAATATTGTAGTTGGGTAGGGTTTTACAAATTATTGAATATAATTCAAAAAAATTCTTACTCGTAGGTTTCTTTAATACTGTGTTTCATTATTTCAAAAGAACTGGATAATGATAAAAAAACATGCTAGTATACCTATTGTATTTTTAGATATGACCAAACTATGTAAACTCCCACAAGTATTAAATTTTATGTATGAAATGTTACAAAGCTCACCAGAAAAGTTGATTCTGTTTTATTTTTTTTTACAGTTTAGAGAACTTCTGTTTCAGACTTAACAACCAGTGAGTTATTTTATTTAGTTAGAAGGTGGAATTTATAAGATGGATAAGTTTCTTCATGGTTGGTATTGAATCTAGCTTATAACAAACAAACTCTCTGCCTGTCTAAAACAAATATTCTATTGAAAAAAAAAGATAATGAAATTGTATGACATAGCTCTATATATACACACATTAATTTGTTTTATGACAACTATAGCCTGTTCATGAAGTGGTAGACATATGTATATAAATAACATTAAATTCTTGTTGATCTTATCAGATATAGGTAGTTGCAACACCATCACTCACGGAGGCTGCCAGCATGGCTGCACAACTCTAAATAAAGGAGGGTATATTTGTGTATGTCCCAAAGGCTTTAAAGTAACCAAGAGCAACCCTAAACTATGTGAAGGTAATGTTTCTTTGTGTGTTATATTAAATATTTATGTTTGTGTTGTTTTTAAATCCACTGTTGCTCTTTTCATTGTAAAGCTACCTTATTAATTATGTCTCCAAATTTGTTTAGATTTTACTTACAGTATGTGGTTTTATACGTGTTGTTATAAATCACATCCATGTAAGGTGTATTAAAATGAATGAGTGTAAAAAATCTACCAATTCACTTTTTTTTCTGCTATATATATATATATAATGATATTAATCTCATCATTATGAAAAAAAAGATTATGTTCAGCTAGCTGTTTCAAGTAAAAAAGTTTTTCAAAACATATAAAACAAATTATTCACAGTTGCAAAATATGACTTAAAATATCAAATAAACTTGATTTGTTGTATCTGCTAGAACCCTGTTTTCCACACTTAAAGAAGTTACACTACACAAAGATGTGTCAGTTTTCTGTATGCTTCCCAATTGACATGCTGAATTTTTTCTCATCAAGTTTGTGTTCAACATTGTCGATTTGATGTCAACAGGTGTTTCTTATTATCACTTAGAGCTAAGGTTATTTACTTTGTATTGATTTGATGTTGACAGATGTTTCTTATTATTACTTACAGCTAAGATTATTTACTTTGTATTGATTTGATGTTGACAGATGTTTCTTATTATCACTTAGAGCTAAGGTTATTTAATTTGTATTGATTTGATGTTGACAGATGTTTCTTATTATTACTTTAGAACTAAGATTATTTAATTTGTATTGATTTGATGTTGACAGATGTTTCTTATTATTACTTTAGAACTAAGATTATTTAATTTGTATTGATTTGATGTCGACAGATGTTTCTTATTATCACTTAGAACTAAGATTATTTAATTTGTATTGATTTTATGTGACAGATGTTTCTTATTATCACTTAGAGCTAAGGTTATTTAATTTGTATTAATTTTACATCTGTACGATATTAAGCTTCTTTTTTTTACATTAGGTTCAACATGATTACCTTTTTAAGCGTAGGATCCTATAAATTACAATTTATTAAAATGAGAAGATGTTAAAAAGTAGTTTGTTATACTAATCTGTATATTATAAAAAATTTCTTCCCCTTTTTTTTCTAATCTCTAGATATTGATGAATGTTCAGTTTTTGGCCACAGTTGTTCCCAAATCTGTACAAATTACAATGGAACTTATAGCTGTTCCTGTAAGGAAAATTTTCAGGCCTTTTCTGGTGGATGTGTGGCTAAAGGTGGGATTTATTTTATTTTTAATTTAAATATCATTTGAGTTGACTCAAAAATGTCAGTAAATATCAAATATAGACTGTTACAAATATGTATTGAAAACAGTTTAATGCACACAAACAATAAGAATTTATCAATGATTTTAAAACTTCAAGATCATAAATGTTGTGTAAGATACTGCTTTGAACAATAGTTTGTATAAATGTTGTGTAAGATACTGCTTTGAAGGATAGTTTATATAAATATTGTGTAAGATACTGCTTTGAATGATAGTTTATATAAACGTTGTGTAAGATAGTGCTTTGAATGATAGTTTGTATAAATGTTGTGTAAGATACTGCTTTGAACAATAGTTTGTATAAGTATTGTGTAAGATACTGCTTTGAATGATAGTTTGTTTAAATGTTGTATAAGATACTGCTTTGAACAATAGTTTGTATAAATGTTGTGTAAGATACTGCTTTGAACAATAGTTTGTATAAATGTTGTGTAAGATACTGCTTTGAAGGATAGTTTGTACACATTATTCTAAGTAAAATTTATTATAGATGTTGTTGTTTTTTTCACAGCTCTGCTTGTCATACCCAATAATACTGTTGTAGGCTTTTTTGTATTATTTCACTTGAGAGAAGTTTGATATTGCATTCTGCGTGTGGATGAATGACTAAAATATTTTTTTTAAGTTTAGGAACTGACATCAATAGTATAAAACACAAGTTAGTCTGGGTTAGATTATTTGATTGAGTAAAATGTTTCTTAGTTGGCTTGTATGCTACTGGCAGTCAATTAGTAAGCTCAGGTTTGTGAATACTGAAGTTGGGCTTAGGTGAAATACTATAGATATGTGAAAGTGTAGTAGATATGAAAGAAAATTAGCATGTGAAATTTTTGTATTAGTGACTAATGTGAACTTGTATGTTGTATTAAAAGAAATAAAACACTTTTACCATCATTAAGTGAACAAAATGTTGTATTCTTTTTAACCAAATAATACAAAAATACTTGTCCAACAATAGATATAATTAAAGCAGTTCTTTTCATTGTCCAACAATAGATATAATTAAAACAGTTCTTTTCATTGCTCAACAATAGATATAATTAAAACAGTTCTTTTCATTGCCCAACAATAGATATAATTAAAACAGTTCTTTTCATTGCCCAACAATAGATATAATTAAAACAGTTCTTTTCATTGCCCAACAATAGATATAATTAAAACAGTTCTTTTCATTAAACAAGTAACACTTTTTTCTTTCCATTAGAAAACAGTTGTATAGCTATGTAATCTTACAATGTGATGTTTTCATTGCTTTCTTTTGATTGTCTGTTAAACTGATAATAAGGATGAGTTAATTATAAATATATAACTCAATCAGTTTGTCCTAATCATCCTTTTTCAACATCAAATGTTGAAATCTTTCAAATTCACCATTGGAGTTGTCTTCAAGTGACTCAGAGAAGAGTGAAAACTTTACGTATTGATTGTGGAGAAAACCAAGGTCTTTTTTATTTCTTTTTTGCTTTCTAAATTTGTGTTTTCTTGAATACTTTGATAGATTTGTCAATCAGTATAAGAAAAAAACGTTTCTACCAGTTTGTTGTTTGGATTCAACTTTCGTTTTGATGCATGTTTCCTTCTAGGCCCTCCACCTGTTTTAATGATAGCCAATGGTCCAGAAATTCGTATGGTGGATGTTGAAAGTAAAAGACAAACTTTCTTGATCCAAGGGGAAAGTCGGATTCATGATATTGATTTTGATCCATTGCACAGTAGGTCTTAAATCCTGTACTTCCTACATATACTAACAATACATTTCTATTAATGGAGGTGATAAATCAGGTTTTATAATATGAACTCTATATGTTATTGTTGTGTGTGTAGCTCAAACGTGTATCTTCAATTACCACCAACACTGTAGATTTTAATGTTGTCTTAAACAAGCTGTTAGCTCTCAAATTAGACTCATTTTTATACCATCCACTTCTAGTCGTGTTTTATATATTGAGTACATTTGTGTTTTGGCTATTACAACACTCATTATAAAGAACTGACCAAACATAAAGAATGTCTTGCAGTTCATTGTTATACTCCCATTGGTAATTCTAGGGTTAGTTAACCTTCTTAATCAAGACTACTTAATAATGAGTTATCAAACTTATACTACACAGGTTATCTCTTCCAGCTGCATGTACTTCCTGTGGCTGTGTGTATTATGTTTGGCAGCACAATGTTTGTTTCTTTTTCTTCCAAGGTATTGTGTACTGGAGTGACTCCTATGATAAAGTTATAAAAAGATCATTTATTCCTTACATAAATGACTCTGATCCAGGAACTGGCTATTCTCAGAATCTTGAAGTAAAGGGTATTGCAAAGCCTGGTGCTATAGCTGTGGACTGGATTGCAGGGTAGTATTAAAATGTATTTCCATTTTTAAAGAGGGTTTTTAAAGTTGCCTAAAGTATTCATGGAGGTCTCTTTGTTACATATTTAAACTTAAGGTGACTAGTTTCTTAAAAGGGCAGAAAAATAAACTCAATCTGAAATTTAATTATAATGAGAGATAAATAATAATGCTCTTATCTTTATAATATTTATAATTAATGATAATTTTGAATCGCACACTTGTTACATGAATATTATAAAATATTGTTGTCTTCCATTTCAGTAGTTGGATGGTATGTTTATTTAAAGTTAGGAACCATTGTATCTACAGAAATCATATTTGTAGAAAGCCATACTCCAAGCTGATTAAAACTCTTGTTGCTTAGTTAAACAGGCTTACCAACACGACTGGTCATTCACATTAGAAAATAAGGGAGGTTGTAAACTTTATCGCTTGACCTACACTTGGAGGACACAGCCACATACTTTGATAGCAAGATGAAAGTATATAGGTATATCTCTACCACCCATGGACAGACCAGGTGTATCTCAAGGGAATATGGGAGAACATGAGTAGCTATAGTGGAAGCAACTTAATGACCTTCTTCACCAAAAGTGTATAGGTATATCCCTACCTCCCATGGGCAGACCAAGTGCATTTCAAAGGAATAAGGGAGAACATGAGTAGCTATAGTGAAAGCAACTTAATGACCTTCTTCACCAAAAGTGTATAGGTATATCCCTACCTCCCATGGGCAGACCAGGTGTATTTCAAGGGAATAAGGGAGAACATGGGTATCTATAGTGAAAGCAACTTAATGACCTTCTTCAACACATGTTATATAAAAACTGCACATACCTAGAAGAAATTTAAAAATTTGAAAAATTCATACTTTAAAATAAGAAGGTACAATTATAGCACCTTTTTGTTTAATGGATTATTTCAGTAATCTTTATTGGATGGATACTGGATTGTCTGATTATGGACCTCAAGGCAAGATCTTTACCAGTTTATTAGATGGGCGGTATAGACGATCCATCATATCCACAAAGCTACAGCATCCAACATCGTTATCCCTGGATCCTGAGATTGGGTATGGATGGTTTGTTTGCCTATTTCATTACTAAATAGTAACAATTGCTGTTATGGTATATGAATTAAGCCTATTACTTATTATTAACATTCATTGCAATTTTAACTCTCTTCTCTTTAATGCTTCTGAACATAAAATGTAGGAGAGTATTGAATTTCATTACCATTTGCTGTTATGGTATATGACTTAAGCCTATTACTTATTATTAACATTCATTGCAATTTTAATTCTTTTCTCTTTAATGCTTCTGAACATAAAATGTAGGAGAGTATTGAATTTCATTTGTGTTTTCTTGAAGTCACTTTCATTTAGTTTTAGTTTAACAATAACTTTACTTAAACTTAAGCGATTTGACTTTTTTAAAACAATAACATTTTTATAGCCATTCTGAATCAAGAGAATTCTTTGAATCAGCACAAAATATATAAAAAAAGTTAAAAACAAATTACCAAGAAAATCAAACAATTCGAAAAATGGACTTTCCTTTATCACAAACTGATAAGAGGAGATCATTTCGTCAAGAAAGAGTTGAACTTAATGTTTTTTGTTTCTCTTAAACTATTTTAGTTACTTGATGTGCCAGAAACTTTGGTACAAATTTGAAGTTTGTTTATGGAATACAGAAGTGGCATGATTCTTGTTTGTAATTATCATCTTGTTCATGAGATCAATTTGGTCAAATTTTGAGATTTGCTTTAAGCTGTTACAAGTCTTAAAGTTTACTCATCTCTTTTTTTTTATAAGCACTTTTGATTTTTTTTCAACACATTTTAGCAAACTCTTCTGGACTGATGCTGGCTCCTCACCTAAGATTGAGTCAGCATGGATGGATGGCACCAATAGGAAAGTGCTGGTGAACAACAAGCTAGGATACCCTAGTGGGATAACAGTGGACTATGCAGGGGGGCATCGTATATACTGGTGTGACTCAAAGCTGAACACAGTTGAATCTATTAAATCAGATGGAAGTGACAGGGTGATTGTGATCAGTGGAGGTACAAAAGTGTCAATTCTTAATTATTAGACTGTTAAGTTATCAAAGTGTGTCCACCAGTAATGCAAGATTCTTCTTTCTTAGGGCCTTAGTTGTCAAAGCAATCTGAGTTTCTGTAAATTAAATACTGAGAGGGAAATTTATCATGAATTGTTTTTGTTTTTTAATTTGAATGTATGTTCAATGAAAATTTGAATTTATAAATTCATAAGTGTTATACTGATAGTTAACTAACTTTATAAGAACAATTTCTGGGTGTTCTACACTTAAAAGTCTATGTTAGAAATGAATAAAAACCATATAATCCGAGCACTTTTGAAAGGCGGACCTTTCTTTTTCAGGGGCAAACTGGGAATTCCTATGGAAGAAACCCAATGAATTATTCTTAGATCATACATCTTAAACTTTTATTAGATTTTCAGCCTTCAAGATGACATTTAAGATTTTGTGACCAAAGGAGCTGCATTGGGAAAACTTTACAAGCATGAGGTTAAACACAATTACTGTGATTAGCTATTCCAGTTTATTTGACAAGTTCTCATAGGAACAGCTTTTGATTTCCAGGTGTTGCTGAAAGCTTGCGAGTTTTCATCAACTTTACAGCCTTGTTTATTATCTTGTTCATGGTATTAAGATATAAGCCCAGCTTCGTTGTAGTGGCATTTTTTGGGGTTGTAAAGTGAAGCTCTCTTTCTTAACCATAGTCTCCACTTTGTACATGAGAGCATTGCTTTTAATTGGATCAGGATGTAGTTTTGGAAAGTTGATGCATAAATGCTTTGCCGTGAAAGTCTTTTTTTATTTCCATGGAGAACATTGTAGGCTTCCTCCATCCATAAGTCTACTCATGGCAACATTGGTAAGGATGTTTTTATGAACAAAGTACATGGCTTGAAGTTACAGTGACATATAACTCTAAATATTTCTCATTGAGCACATTTAACCTCCACTCTGTAGAAGGTTAATGGTGGCAATGACTTATAAGTATAAGTATAAAGAGAATCAGACTGAAGAGCAAATTATTCAAGAGATTTATCAGTACCAGTAATAGATTTAGCAATATTATAAAATGCTAACATTTGATGGGTAAGAATGATCTTAATATTATAATCTTAATCCATAATGAAAAACAGTTTAACTCTTAAATTAAATTATCTTTCACATGATTGTATAAAACATTTTTCTCTTAACTTACAGTTTCAAATTATATCTCTTTCAGAACTTTTTCACCCAATCAGCTTAGATCTTTTTGAGGACCATTTGTATTGGGTTACCCGTGACACTGGAGAAATTTATAAACAGGATAAGTTTGGCAGAGGTATTAAAGTCAAGATCTCTCAAAGGCTTGAGACCCCAACTGATATAAAGATTTATCAACCATTCAAATACAATACCTCAGGTAAACACAGAAGTATTTCTAATACAAATTAGACTACTTCTTGTTTGGAGCTACCCTTAAACAAATAAAACTGTATGCTAATAACAAGTACAGTAGATATTAAAACTTTTTTTTATCTTTTATTACCTCTCCCAGGGATTATGTTTTCACCTGTGTGTGTGTATGTTTGTCAGCAAGACTTTTCAAATGACTGAATAGATTTGGATGAAAGTTGGTATACATTTGGACCCATCTTAAAAGTGATTAACTTTTGTAGGGAAAAGGTTGTGAAAATAAAAAAATCCCTATCTGTTAACATGGAGACTGATTTTTGTGATTAACTTTTGTAGGGACAAGGTTGTGAAAATAAAAAAATTCCTATCTGTTAGCATGAAGACTGATTTTTGTGATTAACTTTTGTAAGGACAAGGTTGTGAAAATCAAAAAAATCTCTATCTGTTGACATGGAGACTGATTTTTCACACTATTTTTGCTCTATAACTCAGGCAAAAATGAATGGATTTTGATGAAACTTGGTGGACATACTAAAAATGGTCTATGTCCATTGATAATAATGGACATATGGACAGGTTTACGTTGTTTTTTTCTTTTCTTTTTTTGAGGGCTGAATATGATCAGATCTGCACAAAACACAAAGACTCCAGCTGGCTAACCAAATAATATTTCTGAAAAAATATGTATTTTACAGGCATAAGTTGTCATATCTTTTAGTGTAAACAGAATTTGTTTTTGTTTTAGTATTAGCTATCTATGACAAAATTTGAAAGAGTTAAAATTGTTCTGTCGTACTAAATGACTTGTGGTTTGTCTCAACTTATCTGTGAGAGCACTTGCTGTTTGATAAATAAGAAAATTCAAGAAATAGGCTTTATGTAGAGACATTCTCAGTTGTTTTATGGGAGCTCAGTGATATGTTTGAGAGTTTATTATGCTAAAATTGAGGGTTTAATTCCTGAGGTGGGCACAGTGCAGATAGTCCATTTTTCACTTTTTTGTTTAATAACAAGCGAATGGTTTCACGTGTGAAAATTATTTGATACTAACCCTAGATTCAGGTTGCATCATCTTTTCATCCTATCTGTTGTACGTATATATAGTCAAAGTTCAGTGTTTGTGTTCAAAAAGAAAAGTCGACAGTGATATTATTTTTCACACTGATTTTCTATATGGTGTGTATTTATTGGAATTTTAGAGTTGTTAATTTAAAGACATTATTGTTATTAACCCATTGACTGTGGCTTCTCTAAATATTAAGTGTACTAGCTGTACACTGTGTACGGCACACTCGCATTCAACTGTCTGAGGCAGACTACCCTATATGGTGAATCAGCAGTGAATGGGTTAAGTTATGTGTATGTGTGTGTGTATGCATTTTTTATTATAATTACAATGCAAACATTTCAGTGCTGAACCATTGCAAGAATGCTAGTTGCACTCACCTATGCCTCCTTATTCCAAGAGGATATCGCTGTTCCTGTCCTGATGGTTCAAATCTGCTGAAATCCAATCAGTTGTCCTGTAATTCAGGTATAAGTTATATATGTCTCTTTAGCTGTCTTCACTTGAGAATAACTTTGTTTTTACTTATGAAGCATCGGTCGCTGTGTTTATGTTGCAGAAACATTTAATAGTATGCAGGAAATCACTCCAGTAATTCTTGAGAAATTATACTAATGTTTTTAATAAACTGTATAATAAGATATTTCATGATTTGACAACTATCAATGCTTCTTTTAATAGGGCAGCACACATGTACAATTAAAGTGTTTACTGGTTAGAATTAGTATCAATTCCAGAGATGAAACTTTGATACAAAAATAAGGTTTTTGAAGTGTAAAACAGTAGAACACAAAACAGAAATATGTATTTTCTTTAAGGAGTGATTCAGATTAATTAAAATATCTTTTCAAGCAAGATGGTAAATCAAAGCAAAAGTTAGTTAAAAATGATACAGTATAAAAAAGTAATATACGTACAAAAGAAAAATCATTTCAGTAGCTATTAATGCAAATGTTTCTAAATTTTTATGGATGGTGAAGCATTCTTATAAATAACTGTAACCACCTATTTTAAATGAGTTCTTTAAAAAAGTTAACTTTGCATTATATGTTTATTAATTAACATTTTGCCAGATTGACTTGTGTTTTTATTCTCCCTAGGTTTAATTTATACTTTAAAAAATCTAATCACTAAAGGGTATTTATGCAAAATAAATTATTAATGTAGTTTTAGTTTATATAAAACTAAGATTGCACTCCTGTTCAAAGCCATGGAAGTTCCGAAACCTGAGCCATTACACTGTCCATGCAAGAATGGTGGAGTTTGCCACCAGGATTTCAGCAAGATTGTTTGTCTGTGTCCTGTTAATTTTGGTGGTATCCATTGTGAGAACTACTTTCAACAAGTTCGGGTAACAACCACATCATCTGCAGAAGGTAAAGATGCACAGTGATCGAGGAATTTAATGAGGTCACAACAAGTTTAACTAGTTTTATTTTAGTAATTAAAGTATTTTACAAATCATAAACCATAATTGTAGAATGAAGTGGTTGTAAGATTGAAATCGTATCATTGAAATTATTAGCATGAATGTTAGCTTAGTGAATACCTACTGATACATTATTGTGAGTTAAATATGTTTTATTTTTATGGAGTTAAAAAAGAACAAGTTTGGTTTTTCAAAATTCTCATTAGTAGTAATTGTTTGTCGATACAAAAACAATGTCCATAGTTTTGTATGTACCAGTACTTATGATTCATTGTATTAAAGATTTGTTAATGGTGAACTTAGAAACAATTGTATACTAAATTTATTTTGCACCTAGATGATTATAACTAGTCTACAGAATTAAGTTTGGAACTAATGCATCATACTGGTCATAGTTTGTAAAATTTTATAAAACACTTGAACAGTACCACCCACAGGTGAGAGAGAAGTTGGGTAACTTGGCACAGACAACCTTAATAGTACAGGGATGCCTGCCTATTTCCATTGGCAGCACTGAATAAGAATCACATTAATCTTGACGTGTACAGAAAATGTCTGTTTTATCTAAAACATTTACTAGGCAAATTCAAATTGTTTTTATAAGGAACTAAAAAATCCTTTCTTCTACTTTTAACTTATATTTGTTTCTTGCAGGTGTAATTTCTATTGTTATTCCAGTTATTATCATCCTGCTTGTTTTACTGTTAGCTGTTGGAATGTTTTTCATCATATATACAAAACTTCTGTAAGTAATTCTTGCCTTTTTTTCATTGTTTTTATTCTGCTTATTTTAATAGTTTTTCCAAAAGTAAAGAACTGCTGTTAAAGTAAATATACAAAAAGCAGCATATCTATCAAGAGTTTTTCTGAATCAGTTGTTGTGTGGGTAGTATGTAAATCCTACTTCTTAGTATATCAGTAAAACCCACTGGACATTTTTTAGTTGGTTGTCTTATTAGTTTTCTATTTCTAAGACAGAATACAATATTTAAAAGTCTGAAGGTTAATGCAGTTCATTAGAGCGTGTGTTGATATATAAACAATGAGTTAAGGAACAGTTTTATGACTGAATTTACAGAAAAAAGAACGAATCGAGAGATCAAAGTGTATCATTCCGAAGTGGCACAAATGTAGAGTTTTCTCCCACTTTTATAAGGAATGGAAACTGTGATACAAATAATGGGGTGAGTGCTTAGAAATCCACAGGTAGATTATTTGTTAAGTTTGGAGTTGTTTTTTTTTTTTTTCCATTTAACAGTATATATTAAGTTATGAAGTTGTTTTATTCCAATTAACTAAATAAATGTTTGTTAAGGATTTAGATTAAATTGTATGTGTATGTATGCTACTAAGTTATAAAATATTTTATCTACTGTTTACACTAATTTGTAGGTGTACAAGTTTAATTGAAGATTTAAAATTGTATTCATTTACATTTCTTTGTAAGAAAAGCATCTTTAAAAACCTTGATTTATCCACAATCAATGCACATGTGAGAATTTTTCACAAAATGTCTGTAAAAGATGTAGTTCTCAAGCTTTCTTTTCTGGGAAGCTTGCCAAAATTAAAAAACTTCACTAAAGTATGATGGTAAAAGAAAGACATTTTTACATTTTTGACATTTATTAAATGTGCCAATTGTGAATTTGAAACTTCAAATTGGTGTCTTATTAAAACCCTGATGTCTAGCCCAGAGCACCTGTTGTTTTTTGAAATTGTTTGATAATGGGCAATTTTGCTAGTGTTATAAATATGTAGTAGGCTATATACTGGTAAAGTTACATTTCCTTTTTGTGTTATAAATATGTAATAGGCTGGATACTGGTAAAGTTGCATTTCCTTCTTGTGTTATAAATATGTAATAGGCAACTTTACCAGTATCCACA